CAAAGGTCCCCTCTGTTCTGAGGCCCTGACGCCAGACTCACCAGAGCAGGCAAAGACAGAACCTGTGGCATCCAACCTTGATCTGCATTTGGTCCACTGCGGCCAATCTGAGGACCAGGGCTTCCAGATCGAGCTCTTTCCAAAGAGCCCTTTCCCTGGCCTCCTCTGAGGGTAGCTAGAAGCAGTGATGAAACCAAAAGCCCTTTGGACCGGTCTCCAAGGTTCGATTGCTCAATTTCCGGGTATTTTCACAACTGACTGTCAAGCACAGTTATTACTAAATCTGAGTTACATTATTGAATAACCAGCTGAATTCTATAAAGAGCAAACAAAGGTCACCACACACACAGAACAGCGACTCCTAGCCATGAGACCACTTTTTTTGCTATGTGCCCTTGATTGGCTGAGCAGAGGACATCTGTAACGTGGAGATTGGCAAAGATCTTAAATCTGGTTCCCCAGCCCCATCCTTGCCTCCTACACAGCAGCTGTTCAAAGTTGACCCGCCAGTTGCTCTCTGTGCGGTCAAGCCTGTATGTCCAGTTTGGACCCTCCCACCTCACCTCGCATTCCCACCGTCCTCGTCTATTCTGCTGGCGCCTCTGCCTGGATTACTACAGAACGCCCTTCCTCCCTCCTATGTCTCCCTCGGGCCCTGCACAATTGAGTCTAGCACAGGGGCCAGCGTGACCCTCCCAGCAGTGGTAGGATCATGTCCCCAGGTCTACACATTCTAGCTTCTCACTATCATTTCTTTACCTCTTATACTATTCTGCGCATCCTCCTGCCTCAGAACCTCTGTACTGGCTCTTCTCTCTGTCTGACCTACTTTTCCCGCAGGTGCCCATTTGGTGCATTCCTTCACTAACTTCAGCAAGACCACTTTCTCAGTCAGGATTTCTCAGACAACTCCACAAAATACTAGAACTGCCACCTCCACTTCATGCCTCCTCCCTCCTCCCCACTCTATTCTTTCTGGAGTCGCTCCTTCCTTCCTTCCTTCCTTCCTTCCTTCCTTCCTTCCTTCCTTCCGTCCTCCCTTCCCTCCCTTCCTTCTCTTCCTTCCCAGCTTTCTGTATCCTAGGCTGCCCTCAAACTTGATATGTAGTTGGGGATTACCTTGACTTTCCTTGTTTTATTTGATGCGTGTGGGTGTTGTGTGTGATTGTGTGCTATACGCATGCTGGTGCCTGGAGAGGCCAGAATAAGGCTTCAGGTGCCCTGGAATGAAAGTTACAAACAGTTGTGAGCTGCCATGTGAGTGCTAGGAATTGAACCCAGGTCCTCTGGAAGAGCAGCCAGTATTCTTAACTGCTGAGCCATCTCTCCAGACCCATGGACTTCTGTTCTTCCCTCCTCTATCTCCTGAATGCTAGGATGACAGGCATGAGTCACCATGTTTAGTTCTGTGCCGTGTTGATATGTTATGTATGCTAGGCAAGCATGCCACCAAATGAGCCACATCCCCAGCCCTATGTCTGTATGATGATGACGTCCAGCCTGAGGCAGGGAGAGGTATGCTCCCTTCAGTGCAGTGTCTCTGGCATCCCAAACAGGGCCAAGCACTCAGCAAGCTCCGTGTGACATTTGCCAATGATCCAATAAATACCATTTGCACAGGATCACTGTAACCTCATGAACAAGGTGCCCAGAACTGAATATTGGCATGGAAACAATGCGTTGTAACGGCCACGTCAGGCGCCGTGCCGCTGCAACCCCCCAGCAGCTGCTTCTTGCGTATGACAACACTTCGATAGTGTGAGCTATTTATGGTGCAAATGCCATCTGCCCAATGCTAGGCTTGGCGCCTGACAAGCGACGAACCCTTGCACTCTTGCTACTGTTCTGTGAGGTAGGTGCTGCCATCAACCATTCAGAGCAGTGAACTAAGATACGGGAAGGTAAACTATCTTGCTGATGGCCAGACAACCTCAGAGGTGACAGGCCTGGTAGTGGAGCTAACTACCGATGCCACTATAAAGTGTGTGGCTAAAGGCTGGAGGAGGCTCAGCAATTAAGAGCAGTTGCTGTTCTTGCAGAGGACACAGGTTCAGCTCCCAGCTCCCACATGATGGCTTATAACCGTCTGTGACTCCGGTTCCAGAGAACTCAGTGACCTCTTTTGAACTCTGCAGGCACCGTACACACGTGGTATTCATACATATATGCAGACAAAGACTCATACCTGGAAATAAAAATAATAAGTATTAAAAAAAGAGAAAAAAGAATTCCCAAACAATGAAATGGCAGATAGTAGCATGCTGTGCCATTACTGGTTTTCCTGACAGTGGCTGCTCACATAAACCAGCTGGCCAGGAACTGCTCTAAGCTGCCACGTTACCCTGAACACTAGAGGCCTCTCACTGGTCTCTGCTAAGGCCCTATGTCCACTTGCCTAATAGTGACTCAAATGCCCTCCTTCTGATATAGGAAGACATGGAGTCGATATCCAAGCGAACCTGAAGAGCCCTGTGGGCGAAGACACTGAGTATACATCTGGAATTGTGTACTCCAGGCCTCTCTGCAGCTGGGTGACCTGAGGCAATGTCTAACCTGTGTTCTCAACCACAAAACAGAAAAGCAAGTCCGTCACACGCGCACACGAAGACGATTTATGTAAGGCACTCCGGCGCCACGCTTGGCAAGCTGTAGGCTCTCCCAAAATGCTAGCTTCTGCCACTGAACATGAGCGTCATGAAGGTGGCTCCCACCAAGCCTTGGAAGCGACAAACCACTTTGCCACAGGAAACCTGCAAGGCATGGTTCCATCTGACCACACTGACGAAAGGCTGAAGAGCTACAGGGCTGGCATGGCCCCTTCTCAGCTCTTGAGAAGTCTACCGTCCAGCCAGAAGAACGGAGTATGATAGGCGGGTGTCGCAGTACCTGTCCACAGCCCCGTAACTCAAGAAGCTGAGGGATAAGGGCTGAGAGCTTGAAACCAGCCTGGGATACGGACACAAGACCCTGTTACCAAAACATACAGCAGGGCTGGAGAGATGACTCAGCAGTTACACGAGTACCTGCTGCACTTGCAGAAGACCCGAATTCAGTTCCCAGCATGTACATGGCAGCTCACAACCATCTGCAACTCCAGCCCTCGCCTGGCCTCCGGGGTTCCAGGCACACATGTGGCATACAGATATGCATGGAGATAAAACACCCAACCACACACACAAAATAAATAAGTAAGATAAAAACAAAACAAACTGGGGTGGGGGGAGGACGACCTAGAGAATTTGCTCAGCGGTTAACAGCACTTGCTGTTATGGCAGACGACTGAGATTCAGTTCCTAGCGCTGCAACTCCCTCTTCCGTTCTCCACAGGCATGTGAACACACACGCACGCACACACGCACATACAAATAAAATAAACGAGGCGGGAGAGATGGCTCGGTGGTTAAAAGCACATGCCGCTCTTGCAGAGGACTCAGGTTTGACTCCCTACATCCACAAGGCTGCTCATAACCATCTACAACTCCAGTTCCAGGAGAGCCCATACCCTCTTTGAGCCGAACACGGCACACACATGGTATGCTTACACACATGCAGGCGAAATACTCATATGCACAAATCTTTTAAAAATCTTTTAAAAATAACATATTTGCAAAGGAGTATGAGCTGGGGCTGTAGCCAAAGGTCTGGGGCTTGCCTAGTGCGTAAGATGTTCTAAAAGGAAAACAATGGCCCCAGTGGGAAGTGAGGCTGAGATTGCACAGCCCTAACCCCCTGGCTTACTTCTGGATTACCTTCCCTGCTGTAAAATGGGGATAAACGACCTCATTTTAGTGGCTGGCCAGAAGAAACCGGATCAGGGAACAAAATGTACTGTACTTCATGAGGACATGGTCTAAGGGATTTTCCTTACTTTACAGCCCAGGGTAGCTGCTCCAGGCAGATCTGGAGCACTGGGCCACCGACAGCCAAAGCAATCTTCCTAATTCTCCTTTATGGTTTTGTTTGGTTTGGTTTTGAAAAAAAGAGTGTGGCCAGGTAGCCCAGGCTGGCCTGGGCTGGATATTCTTCTGCCTCGGTCTCGGAAATGCTGGGATAATGGATGGGCCCCACCACTCCGACTTTTCTTTCTCTTTAAAATGGCCCCTGATCTACCCAAACAGCCAATAGTAATCTGTTGCTTTCTGTTAAATCACCTTGTATTTAAAATTTATTGTTGTTGAACTCTTTAAAAAATGAGCCGTGCTCAAGTCAAACACAGTATTTTTTTAAGGTAGGGTCTCACTGTGTGGCTAGCCTAGAATGCTAACTGCAGAAAAGGCTACTAGCTTCCACTTTAGAGATCTTCCCGCTTCTGCCCCCTCCCTCCAAGTGCTGGGATTAAAGATGTACACCACTATGCCCCTCTTAAACAGCCGCTTTTCTGGGATGTGCTCCCAAAATAAGGATTAGCCTCATCAATTCAAAAGATTCGGCCAGTCATGCATCACGGCAGAGACTATAGGAGTCCTGGTTTTCCAGCTGGTTACCTTTCAAGGGCCAGGGTAGAGGGGTGGACTAGCTACTATATCAGCCATATGGAATTTTCAGTTCTTACTTCCGGCTAAGCATTCAAGGCTGGGGAAGCCGGCTTTCAGAGGCCCCGTGTCCCTGGAAAAGAATTTGCTGGGTCGGTATGCAGGAAACACTCATGCAATAGCAGCTGCCAAAATTTAAGCATTGGGAAATCACCGGCTCCCTCTCTGCGGCACTTTCCGGGAAGCCTAGGGACATGGGCGCGCTGGGCCCCCAGGGCTGCCGGGGAAGGGGCCTGGCCGCCTCCTACTGGCCCATCACCTAACTGCACCGCATCCCCAGGCCCTGCAGAGGTGGGGTGGGGTGGGGTGATGATGCCTTTATTCCGCGGAAGGAGGAGCGTGCGGGTGAAGGTTCGGTGACTCGGTCGAGCACCGTGGGACCCGAGCCATCTCCATGGCCGGCTGGCAAGCGTGCCGTTGGATGCAAGAAGTGCGCAGCGCAGAGCAAGCAGGGGGGGTGCAGCTTACTTCATCTCGCTCCTCCGGGAAGTGGCCCGGGCTGGCTAGTACGACAGGCGGCTGGGGTCGGGGAGTGGGGGGGAACCTGCGACCCCCTGCCCGCGCTTCGTCTTCGACAGGTGCGCGCTTCACTCGGGGCCGCGCTTCGGTCCTCCGAGAGCGCCCGGGCGCGAGGCCAAATTCAACCCGGGATGCCGCAGTATTTCAGGCTGCGTAGCGACAGGGCCCAGCGGGCAGGCCTCTGGCCACCGCGGCCCCGCGCTGCGGTCACCCGGGCGCCAGGAGCGCGCGCAGTGGGGCCTAGGGCGAAGCGCGCGCAGGAGGCGGAGCCTCGGACCTGGGCACCTCCCCTATCTCGCGGGCGCGGTAGAGGAGGCGGGGCCTCCGAGTGCTTCCTAAATCCAGCTGCTACACTTGGGCTCTTTCTGCCTTGCTTCCGTTGTCCTTTCTGCTATCCGGGTCATACTCTCAATGGCAGGGCTGCCCTGCTGCGCGGGAAAGCGCGTGTGCCCCTAAAGATTGCTAGGAGTGGAGATAGTGGATGTGTTGTTGAGAAAATTCAGAGGATGAGCAGTGTCTCTGACTTGTCGTCTGGAAGCTGGAACATGTTTCCTGCTGTCCCCAGGCCTCATGGTCCCCCATCTGTAGAGTGAATAGCTTGGTCCACTGTACCCAGAGGAGTGAGTTAAACGCGGGGAGTGTACACCCTTCCCACACCTTCACCAGCCGGCTCCAGATCTCTGACGCCCCCTAACTGTAAGGGGCTTGGGACTCTCTCTGTGTTCTGATGAGGGTTATCTTGAGGCTGAGAGGCCTTAAGTAAGACAGGAAATAAACAGTGCTTTATGAAGAGTAGCAGCTGTGTAAAAGACATCTCAGCTCTTGGCTCCACCCACCCCCTATCCATTTTGGTGCACTGTTCCCAACCTCTTGCCCATTTCAATGCTAACCCTACAGTGTCCCCATGATCCTGACGCTGAAGATGAAGCTGCTTCTTCCCTCCGTGACCCTCAAGCAACTTCGGGCTAACGAAGGCAGGGATGCCCTTGGACCCCTCCTGGATGAGGGTGCCCATCTTTACTCTTGGAGCACCGTTGCTCTGTTCCTTCTTCAGAGGTTCCTCCGAGCCACCACACAGGCAGAAAGGCTGCATGGCCACCTCTGAGCCACCTGGAAAGCCTCCTGGTGTGAGAGAAAACTCAAACCAGTCTGGCTTTTCTTTCACAACGGTTGCTCTCCGACCGCATAGCACTAGCAGGGGAATTTGGCAGGACCAGAAGGACCAAGTGAAGCCAACAGGCTTGATTTCCATGATTACCATGGTCTATCTGCCTTACTTATATTCCAGGCCATTGACCACTGTGTCTGGCTTTTTTATGTGGGTGCTAGGCATCCAAACTTGGGTCCTCATACCCGCACAGCAGTCTGTACCCACAGACCCATCTACCCTGTGTCTTCTTGTGTGATCTGAACAATTTATTAAATTTCTTCAGAGAATCGATCATTTATGTCAAAAATCCAATAGTTTAGGTAGAAGACCACTGCCTCCCCAGATCAGCCCTGGGAACCTTGTCTGTGCCTACCGTGGGCTTGGTTCCAGTGCCTTTGCCAGCCTGGAGTCTCTCGTCTCTGGGCTAGCAGCTACTACCCACTCCAAACCTTATGGCAAAGGTGTGCTGTCGGCAGGAAGGTGGGGCTGGGGAGGAAAGTGCCTCTGGGGGGGAAGGCTTCCACAGGAGCATTGCACCAGGTTTATCTTGCCCTGGGTAAGGAAGTCACCAGGGGCTCCGCCTATGGAGCACATTGGTGGGGACTTTGCTTCCTCATCACACAGCATACTGGGTAAACAGAAGTCGGGGGTTAACTCAACCTGCCTTGCAGACACGGAAAGTGAAACCCAGAGAGATGAATGACTCACAGACGTGTCTATGGAGTTAGAAATAAAATCACGTTGCAGTTTCTATTTTCAGGCACCATGCCCCTAGTCGGCTCTACTTGCTGGCTCCTTGCTTCTCACAGGGGAGGGGAGGGAGGGAGGGAACAGGTGTCGTACATTTTTCAGCCATGGGTAGACATTTTCGTCCCCAGATGAGAAACCTCCAAATGACTTGTTATGTTTTAAGATTGGCTCCGTAAAGGAACGATTATTTCATTCTCTTTTGCTGCCATAATAGGGTACCACATTTAAACAGCATAGAGCTGTCATCTTGCCGCTCGCTGGCTCGGGTCTGGCTGGGTCCTTCGTAGAGAAGCCATTTTCTTGCTCGGTCTTGCTCCATCCATCCATCATCTTCTGCTCGTGGCACAGCTCGGTGCCTTGTGATCTAAGGAGTCCCCAGTTTCCCTCCTGATTTCACTGAGGACTGTTCTCAGTTTGAAAATTCCTTTGGCCTGGGAACTTTCTTGTCTTCAAGGTTTAGATAAAAAATTGAGAATTGAAAATTTCTCTTACTCTATCAGGGTGCAGTTTCTGACTCAGCCAGGAAAGGGCATCTGATTTAAGGGTTTGTGATACTAAACTAGAAGGGGGGACACTTGTATAACCCCAAATTATAATATTTCTCATTTTAGATTTTTCATATTTGGGTGGAGGGGCTGAAACTTTCTATGTAGACCAGGCTGTCCTTGAATTCACAGAGATCTACCAGCCTCTGTCTCCTCAAGTAATGGGATTAAAGCTGTGTGCACCACCATTGTTTATTATTATTATTTATTAGCGTTATGTGCATGGGTGCTTTGCCTGCATGGTGCCTGTGTTCCACATGCACACTTGGTGCCCTTAGAGGTCAAAAGAGGCCATCACAGCCCCTGGAACTGGAGTTACAGATGGTTGGGAGCCACCATACGGTGCTAGGAACCCAACCTGGATTCTCTGCAAGAGCAAGCAGTACCCTCGACCTCTGAGCCATTTCTCTAGTCCCCCAAAAGTATTTTTAAGATTATTTTTACTTATGTGTATATACATGTGTGTACAAGTGCCTGAAGAGGCTAGAAGAGGGCACAAGATGCCCTGGAACTGGAGTTATGTATGGGCTGTGCGGGCAACCCAATATGTGTGCTGGTGTTTTAGTTGGGGTTCTCATTTCTGTGAAGAGAAACCAGGACCGCAGGAACTCTTACAAAGGAAACATTTAATTGGGGTGGCTCGCTTGCAGTTTCAGGGGCTCAGTCCGTTATCATCATGGCAGGGAGCACAGCCACGTACAGGCAGATGTGGTGTGGAAGTAGTAGCTGAGAGCCCTACATCTTTCAGGCAACAGGAAGTCGACTGAGGTGCTGGGCAGTATCCTGAGCGTAGGAAACCTCAAAGCCCACCCCCACAATGACACAGTTCCTCCAACAAAGCCACACCTCCCTGTGAGATTATGGGGGCCTATTACATTCAAACCACCACAGTTGAGACCCAAACTCCAGCCCACTTCAGGAGTGAGCACCAAGCTTCCTTGACCACTAAACCAACTCTTCAGTTCCCAATAAATAATGTTTAATTGCATGGGTGTGCTTTGTTTTGTTGATGCCATCATCATTATTAGACAGATATTTGGATTATTTCTGCTTTTTGGCTCTTGAGAACAAAGTAGTTATGAACATGTGTGCATGTCTTTTTTGTTATTTTGTTTTGTTTTGTTTTGGTTTGGTTTTTTTTTTTTTTTTTTTGGATTTTTTTTAGACAGGGTTTCTCTGTAGCTTTTTTTGGTTCCTGTCCTGGAACTAGCTCTTGTAGACCAGGCTGGCCTCGAACTCACAGAGATCAGCCTGCCTCTGCCTCCCAAGTGCTGGGATTAAAGGCATGCGCCACCACCGCCCGGCTATGTGTGCATGTCTTAATGTAAACACAGCTTTTGTTTGTCTTGGGTGTATACTCGTGGTGGAACGGCAGGGTCACAGGGCAGTTCTGTGTATGACCTTTGAGGACCTGACCCACTGTTTTCCTAAACGGTTTGTACTTTTCCCCGAACCCTGCAATGCACCAAGGCTATGCTTGTCTGGATCTTGATTGTAGCCATCCATTCTCGAGGCCACAAAAGGGGGAGCTACTTGTGCTTGTTTGCATTTTCTCTAGTAGCTCATGATGCTGAAGACCACTGTCTGTCTTATTTTATCATCTGTTTCCTGAGGAAATGTCTAGTTAGATTCTTTGCCCACTTTGGTCTTGTGTGTATCTGTTTGGGTACTTGAGGAGAAGCCAGAGGCTTCAGATCCATGGAGCTAAAGTTACAGGTTGTTGTGAGCCATCTAGTGTGGGTGCCAGGAATGGATCTCGGGTCCTCTGGGAGAGCAGTAGGCAAGCTGAACTGCTGAGCCGTCTCTCCAGCCTAAGGTTTTAAAATGTTCTAAGTAGTCACAGTCTAAACCGGACTCTCTGATCATGGCGAACAATGAGGACTGATGAGAAGCCAAGGACAGTGGCACGGGGTTTTGATCCTACTTCATGTTCCGGCTTTGTGGAAGCCTAGCCAGTTTGGATGTTCACCTTCCTAGACATGGACGGAGGGGGGAGGACCTTGGACTTTCCACAGGGCAGAGAACCCTGACTGCTCTTTGGATTGGAGAGGGAGGGGG